GATCTTGTTTTAGATTGAGAACCCCTAAAACAAAAACATATTTGAAGGAAATTCTTTTAATCAGAAGAGGAACTAGAACACTGAGCTGGAGCTAACAACAACAACACTCCTCAACTTGACGCTTTCCAGCAATTCAATATCTACAAATGAAAAGGTCTTTCCTTTTCTCACAGAGAGAGTACTATTCAGAGAGCACAAAAAATGTTGGGAGAAATCTCAGGGCTTTTAGTCCTTTATGGTTCTAGAGGCTAGACACAGCACTGTAATGCAGCACTGATATTGTTTGGTCTTAGGGAGTGAGACCTTGGGAATACAGTCAGATGCAGTATCTCTGCATGGAGGAGTTCAGCAGTACACATAATGGCTGAGTGGGATGAAAAGGAGATTGAGCAAATGGCGTAGTAGTAATAACAATTTAAAGCAAAAAATAATGGTAATGCAACAAGATCAAGCCCACAAAAGCCAGAAAATTGAAGAAGTTGCTCTGACATTATGGTCACTACTAGGAATCACTTTAAAGTATCACTTTTCTGTGAAAAATAATTCTGTTCAAATAACACCTTCTTGCTCCCTGTGTGAGTTCAGAGTCCTATCTGTTCTCTTTGGTGATAGTACTAAAACAAGCTTATTTTGTACCCACTAGACCCTACATAGCTGAAAGAGTGAGCTGGATTCTAGTGCTTTTCTAAGGCCTTGGCTACACTTGGGACTTCCCAGCACTGCCGCGGCAGCGCTGTGAAGTGCGAGTGTAGTCGCGCCGCCAGCGCTGCGAGAGCTCTCTGACAGCGCTGTATGTACTCCACCTCTCCGAGGGGAGTAGCTTGCAGCGCTGCAGGCTCTGATTACACTGGCGCTTTACAGCGCTGTACTCGCTGCACTCGGAGAGGCGTTTTCACACCCCTGAGCTCAGCAAGTTGCAGCGCTGTACACCGCCAGTGTAACCAAGGCCTAACTCATCATGAAAATTGTTTCCAGTCTGCTAGATCTAGGCCAGGATGAAGAAGGTTAATTTGTTTTTTGTTTTGTTTTTTGCTTGCTGCTGTCCATAATTACTACTGTACTTTTAGGTAGGAGAGGATGCCCGTCATTCAGGACCACCAGTTCTACCAAGACCGTCCAGCACGTTTAATACAGTCAGCAGGGCTCAGTACCAGGACATGGTTCCAGTGGGTATGTCAGGACTTGGAGTTCTCTTGAGGGAAGTGTACTTTGATTTAACTGTGCATGTCAGTGTGGGTTTTTCTTATTTTTGCTTCTACTGTATGTTATGGCTAACTCTATCCATTATCATTCCCTATCATGGAATTTCAATTTGTGTGTGTAATAGTGAAGAACTTCCAGGCATGACCAATTTATTAATACCAAAATGTTTGCTAGTTAATGCAAAGGGTTTCTTGCATTACATTTTCTAATTAACTTCCCCTCAGAAGTAACTAGAAAGTTACAAATAGAGGGCCAGACTCTGTATTGACCCGGACCCTATGTCGTCCCATTAATTTCAATACAAATATTAGACTTTTATTTCAGAGGGCTTCCATGAGGTGTGAGTCACCTCAAAATTGGTCAATAGCCTACATTTTGTTTTCAGTTATACACACACAAAAGCCTTTTGACATCAATGCCACTAAGAAAATAATTTGGTGCACTGAATTAACAGGCATTGTGCAAAAAATCATGATTGGTTAATTTGTTTGATCTTTGATTAGTAGCACGGTTACTTGACAGTCACCACAAATTTAAACTCCTTTCACTTGCTATGGACACTGCGTATTTTTCAGGTTCAGCATTTGGTGATGTTTTGAACAAAGATACTTTTAATTGCTGTTTAATTGACAGTGGAACGGGCACAAACACTTTGAGTGGGCCCTCACTTCATAGACCAAACCACTTTAGAGATATGAGTAAATATAAAATATTTATGTAATCTTTTCTTTGTGATAGAATAAACAGTAAAAATAAATACATAAACAAAGAGATGGTCACTGCCAACCACATTTCAATAGCTTTTCATTACTTTTGACTGTAATATTTGTCAGACCTTCTTAGAAGTTTCACTAGTGACTGCCTCTTACTCCTGTATGGCACAATACAAGTTGTCTGCCAATCCGTCCAGCAGTAGGATTGCTGTTGTCATCAGAAATGTGTGAATATGCGTAAACCATGTGTGTTCAAATACACATGCTGCAGAGCAGGAAGAGAAAATGATGCATTATGTTGTAATGCAACACATCATAATCATGGGTATTGGGAAGGAAGTTGTCGTTCCCAGTGACAGAACAGGGGAGTTATAAAAGCATATGATAATAGTAGGCTATTTCTTGCCTGATAAAACTATGTGAAGGTAGGTCAAATTGCCATACCAACATTGACAGTGTCCTTATGAATTTTTTTATTGATCGTTTTATTCCTTTCTCATTCTGATGTTACAAAAAGGAAGAGGAATAAAATCTATGAAGCTTTGAGTCTCTCTTGAAAGCAAAAATAAGGAAATTCACCATTAAGGCAGAAAAGCTGGCTAATAAACTTGTAATTCTAAACCCTTATGGTACACAATGACAATACCTAGGCAAAGTGGCATGAGTTAAGGCTAGTATGGAAGCCTAGACTTTCAGCCTTATGTGTGAAGATATTACTTTTGTGAGACCATATCAGATCCTTAATATGAGTAAAACAAATAATTATTTTTCAGAATAGTGGAAGCAGGGAGAGGAAAAAGCAAAACAAAAATACCCGCACGTTAATGTGTAGCCAATAAGAAGCACATGTAATTTACTATTATGTTTTCACCTGGTCTAAGAAATATAGAAAATAAGGCCCCCTACACTTCATTCATATATGTTCCAGGTTGACATGAGCTGAGGCTGTATGTGATGAAATATTATAATACTGTGAATTCTTAAAAAAGGCACATTAACATCTGATAGTGTTTTAATCTAAAATTTTATTCATAATAAAGCTGACCATGTATATCCAAATTCAAAAACCAGCACCAGCCTTTAGGCTAAAAATGTAATGAATAGATTGTATTAATGTCGTAAATAAAAAGACTATGAATATAAAGACATAATTCCATTATTATCATTATTATTCAGAAGTTACAAAAATATGATGCTGTTTTTCAAATGCACCTGTTTGCAGTAAGCTGTTTTCGGTTGCCACTTACAGCCTACAACGACAAGATTGTCGCATTTCTGCGACAGCCCAATATCTTTGAAATTCTACAAGAGCGTCAACCAGATCTTACCAGGAATCCTTCACTCAGGTAATGATGTTGATTCTGTTCTCCAGCTTTACTTTCAACTGACAGTCCCGTTTCAGATCAGACAATCAATTAGTATTCTTTTTTTCTGGCAAAGTTTGCAGTATTAAAAAAAAAGGCACATTGCTTGCTGGCTGGCTGTCCATTGGTCATTTATAAACTTAAACTCTCTCCTTCCTCCCTCCCTGTCTCCCCCCAGGCCTCCACACACACAAAAATCCCCCAAATCTTCTGTAATTTCAGCCTGTCAGAAACAAGCTTACTCAAAGAATTGAAGGAAACATTCCGTTAATGTGCTGTTATGTAGTGGCCTTGGACCTTTGCAATAGTGCAGTTACGCTCTTTCAAGATCTTGCACACATGCATCCAGCCAGTCAGCTGCAAGGCCATAAATAGCGCACTTCAGTCTCATCTCCATGTCTTCTCATTTGGTTCTCTGCTCAGCTCCTCAGCCATCGTCAGGTGGTGTCCAAGTAGGGCAAGTTTTCCCACGCTGGGGAGGGATGCAGGGGAAAGAAAAGGAATAGTAGGAGCAGGTGAAACTGCATGGATCTGTCCTTCCTTCCTTCCCCCCACTCCCACTGCAAATGTGGCCATGGGCACCTTTGTGCAAACCCCAGCTCCTCAAAAGGTTTACCTGATTCCTCCCCCTGTTCTTAAACTGCAGCTGACAAACTGGTCTTCTCTTCTCTGCTCCCTTAGCACTCTTCCTAACCACATTAGCGCATGTGGCCTGGCTCCCAGAGCCACCAACAAATCTGCCATTGGCAGCAACACGTAGCCTTGGGCAACCAAGGAAGTGGGAAGAGAGTGTGTGCGTGTGAATAATAATTTTCAGTGAGAAACAGGGAAGAAGAGAATAATGCAAACAAAAAGGGATGGGATGAGCAAACCCATGCTAGGCAGGCAGGGGAGAAAGTGAGCATAGATGGCCAACTCAGGGTGCTGGGGCATGGAGCAAGGTGAATGGGAGGTGGAAGAGGATGTTGCTAGCCTGCCATTCCATTACAAAGACAGAGTATCTAGGGGGGAAAAAGGTTGGCGCTACTGACATAGGATATCTCCAGAAATCACAGAATCTCACTGACAGGCAGGCAGGCAAGATGTGGCCATTGGTGGTGCTGAGTATGTGTAGGTCCATGGGTCTGAGGCATTCAGATAGAAAGGCGTTGGTTGGGGCTCTGCTCATCTTTCTTGATGTATACTGTAGGGTTCTTCCTAAACCTAGAGTTGGCCCTGCTTTTTTGGATAAGTTCAAGCAGCAATATCTATTTAGCATGTTTGGAGTTGCACAGATGGTTTAGGAACAGACCAGTATAGTTCTTGCACAGCCCCACGAGATACATAGTATGTTATGAAAGATGCTTTATAATATTATATGGTGATTACAATATTATATAGCACAGGTAGACTATAACTGATACAGGGTGAAATTCACCCCTGTGCAGAGGGTCAGCACAAAGCCACTAAGTCCTCCTTACACACGTGATTAATTTTTAAGAGCATGAGTAGTCCTGTTGATGTCAATGGGATTACTAATATGCGTAAATTAAGCATATAGTTAAGTGCTCTGCTGGACTGAAGTCTAAGGGTTTAGCACATTGCAGAACTGAGCTTTAAATCCCTCATAAAAATGCTGGACTTGTATAGGTCTTAGGCTGACCCTTTTCACAGGAGTGAATTTCACCCTTGGAGTATGGGGTATACCTATTTCGTAATTCAAGTATATGTTGCTTAGCTGTAAAACTAACTCGCTGTTAACGTGGGAATTAGAAATTGGTGTTCAAATGAATGTTTTCAGAACTATCTTGGACACGCTACTGTTGAAAAATGTGTTAGTTCATTGCCGCACATCTATCATTATGGTAGTTATGTAGATTTTGATCTCATCGTACGCTCTGGCTGCCAATGCAGTGCTCTCACTTCCCAGAGTCAGAGTCTCGCGTGTTCTAACAGCCTGATCAGTATGTGCTGGCACAACAGCTCCCACTACTTATCTGCCTCCTTTTCTGTGCAGTGATACATAGGGTATGAGTGCACAGCAATTAGAGGTGTGACTGCAGCACGTGTAGCTGAAGTAGTTGGCAGTGAAGCCGCAGCAGCACACACTGTACACTTGAGTGGCTGGCCCGTGCTGCTGTCCATGCTGCCGCAGCTTCACTGTTGTTGTTGGAGCTAGCTAGATCAAAGCTAGCTCCGGTATGTCTGCACATGCAGCAGTCAAACCTCTGCTTGTAATGTAGACATGCTCTTAGTGACCCTGCTTCCTGCATGCCCTGCAAGTTCTCAAAACTCAGCCAGCTATCCTGGTTTGCAGTTTCCCTGAGCTTCGTGTCCTAACAAATAGACCGATGACTGATTTATCCTCCGAATAAGAACTGGCTGACAACCCTGAAATCAAGTGCCAACAGAATTCACACTTTCCAGAAAATTGAGGGAGGAGGAAAATTAAAACCCCACAGATCTCAGCCTGTCAGTGTTTTCTGTTTGTACCCATATTATTATGCAGAAGGCTGGTCTCATTTGAATTGTGTTCAACACATGAACAAGCCAATCCATCAGGTAATAAAATAAAACCAACTTCTGGTTTTCCCCTGAGGTTCTTGGCTTCAGTTACTCCAATAGCAACAGCCCCAATGTCTATTTTCCCCTTAATTTCTGCCCTGTTTTACTCACTTTGCAAATCAGAAGATGTTCAAAGGATTATTGATGCTATCAGCTTATGCTTCTTATAGTATCTTGGATCCTGGATCATAGCATCAGAGCAAGCTAGCAGCTGGGACCTTGTCAGGATCAGTTAGTTTACAGCTTAAAATTACAGACCAAGGGTAAGAAAGGTGTTAGTGTATGCCAGTAGATAGAATTCATTACTCACTAGGTACAGTTTGTCCCTGCTGATATCCCTATAGTAACTAGAATGAAGAAATGCGTCTCTTATGTGCCTTAGCAGAGGGATGGAGGATTTTATTGAATAGAGGACCATGATGCTTTGCTCAGTGTAGTTGGTTTGAGAGGATACACTGCATGGCTAGATCTTTGCTCTCTTGCTCCTTGAAGTTATGATGCTTGGTTAAGAATTAGCTGCCTTCCTTCTCCCCCTAGCCCCTACTCCCACATTCTTAAAACTGTGTCTCACACCGTTTTTATAGGATTGACACTTCCATCACATCACTGCGTATTTTTTATGAAGGTGCCACTACCCGTTTTCCTAGTTAGCTCTTTAAGGCCCTGATTCAGCAAAATACTTGAGCATGCGCCTAATTTGAAACATGTGACACTGAGTAGAGCTATTGAAGTCACTTAAAGTTAGGCACATGCCTAATTACCTTGCTGAATTAAGGCCTATGGGGGGTGATGATTAATGGTGTGTGCATGGCCAGCATGCACTCCCGGGACTGTGTTGTATTTGTTTGTTCTATTATCAAAGGGGCATGTTGAGTTTAATTCTTATGGAAGTTTAAAAATAAATCAGATCTTGGATTACCTTTGTTTTAATACATGTGCACACAGTTGGACAGTATGTAAATAACTGAGCATGTTGTTATTGACATTCACTTCTCCATAGCTAGGGGTTATAAATTACTTCCAGTTGTACAGCAGCTCTTTCCTGGATTGGCTGGACTCTCTCTCTCTCTGACTCTTATGTGGGTGGCAGGACATTACTGGGCTTTCTCTGGTGTTTCCCTAGTAGACGCAGGGCTGAACTGCATTTTATGTATTTTCCCTGGTGTCTTTGCTTTAGCTGGTGCTTTTGATGAGGAGTTTTGGGCCAACCCGTGTGTGTCGGTAGTAGGAGGCAACAGCTCTTGTGGTTTGAATTTCTTCTCTTGTCTGTGGCTTTAATTGGTTTGTGTCTGAAATGTGCTGGTTTACTGCTGGAAAGTTTTTACTGTTGTTTTTCTGAGGAAGTGATAGTTCCTGGAGGGATTTTTTGTTGCTTTCTGAAGGTACAGCAATTGTTTTGGTTTTTAAACATGCACATTGCTTGCTCGCTCACTTGGAAATCCCAGCCCCATTGAAGTCAGTGGCAAAGTTCCTATTCCCAGGAGGGCCAGGATTTCATCCTTTTTTATTTCTGACCTGACTTCTAGTGCTGCTACTGCTATGGCTTCATTTTGTTTCCTCTTCTCTGCATCTCCAGTGCTCTCATCTTCCTCTCTGATTGCCTCACCATATCCCTTTATCAACTTTTGCTTCTCTTCCTCACCATTTCTGGTCATGTGAACACTACTTCATTCTCTTTCCTACCACCTCCCCTGTCGTTCCTCCTACCTTTCCTCCCTGCCCTCATAAATCTTATGCTCCCAAGTATGTTTACTCTTCTTTCTCCTCTGCCTTGCTCCTTTTCACCTTCAGATGTTATACAGGTTCCTAGGCCCCTTATTCTTGTTCTCCCATCCTCAATCCCGTCTTCTTTCCTTGCATTCCATATTTAATGCACCTAACTTTGTTCCCATCCTTTTGTTCTTGTCCCCTCCTTCTCAACAGCTGTGTTCGTTTTTTCTCTCTCTCGCTCTCTGCCATTTTTAGCCCCCTTTTCTGCCTCCCTCTATATTCTTTGCCTTCACTTAAATCTGGCTGTCTCCTTGTGACTTTCTGTGGCCATCCTCTGGCAGAGTCATAGAATCACCTTTCCTCTTCTCCTTCCAACAGCTTCTCTTCTTTTGAGGTCCATCTAGCCAACCTTCTATTACTGTTCATGCTGTTGTCATCTTCCATCCTGCCTCAGTTGCTCTCTTTGATGGGCCTCATGCCTGATTCTGAACAATTTCAGCTTTTATGTTGATGATCCCTCCATCTCCCTGCTGAAATCTCTGGCCTTGTTTCCTCCTATTGATGCTCCCCAGTTCCTTTGATCTATAGCTTCTCTCCCATCAGGGGCCCATGGGAGGCCACCACAGCCCCAAAAGTGGCCATGTATCTAAGGTTGCTGGGGATGTGCAGAATCAGCACATCCCATCAATAGCTTGGGGCAAACGCAATCACCCAGTCTTCAGGAGAGGCCAGTGGTGAACTCTTACCCCAGAGTGCAACAGATTTCACTGGTATAGAGAGGTGTAACTTCTGAAGCTGGGTCAAGGTCTTGTTCTCCTGACTCTGTTGCAGTTAAGTAACACATACACTTCACTCACCCACCCCCCAATAATTGTTTTATTCAAAGACATGCATCTGGGGATTTTAATCTGTGTACAGCCTAAAAATCAGTGGCATGCATAGAACACAGAATAGTGACTGACTTGAATTGGGAGGTGGGGGAGGGAAGTGTGCGGGGGTGGAGGGAAGTATGCGGGGGTGGGGGACAGGGGGAGGGTTGGGAGAAAGGGATTGATGTATGCATTCACACATCAGAAGGCCTTTCTGGAAGATCTGTAAGTGCAGTATTGTACATAAAACCTACTTTAAAAAGCACGAATGAGCTGTAACATACAGCTTGAATTTGTACTAAAAGGGGAAGGGGAGAGGAAAGGAGTCGGAGGGTACTACTTTAAGCAGTTCACTTTCAGAATAGCAATGTCTTCCCACAGGGCTCTGTCTGCTGCTTTGAATTCAGGGCCACAACTGATACTAACTTGAGGGATTGATTTTTATTGGTTGGATGGCTGTGTTACCTGAAGCAGCCCGAGCATCTTACAGATGAGGGCAACAGGAGAATCATTCTTCTGAACAAATTAGGTTGGCTTTTCTTTTTTTGGTTGTAAGATTGTATTGCTCACATGGACATGGTATGGCAGGAAGAAAAATGGTGTCTGAAATACAGAGGCATAACCCAGAGGTCTACTTGATATATCCAGCATTTTTTCTTGTTGCTCTGGTGTACATTGGTGCCTTATTTGCAAAAGATGTTTTGGAACTCTTCCTTTGCTTAAACAGGGAGAAGATCCAGTTTATCCGGACAGAGGGAACACCTGGACTAGTGCGTCTATCCAGTGATGCAGACCTTGTCATGTTACTAAGGTAGGTAGAAGTGCTTCATAATGGATGGTTAGGAATATGCTGTGAACAGCTGGTGAAGTGCCTTTCTGTGTATTATGTGTACTGACTAGGTGACCTACATGTCTCCCCTTCAGTTCTCAGAACTGCACCTGGGGGAGCTGCTGCAGAGGATTCAGACTCTTGATTTTCCCAGTGCTGAGATTCCAGATGTCGGTTATTAGCAGGGAGATCACATTTTCCATAGCAGTGCGGAAAAGTGATTATCCCTGCAGGAAGGAGGGGGTAAAAGAGTACAATCCTGCAAGTAGAATTTAAACCCAATTACAGTCCACGCTACTATATGAATCTCTTGCAAGGAAAAGAATAAATGGGCTTGTCCTGATTGCCCTAAATTGTTCAGTTGTAGTCGTCGTTAGAAGGACAGAGATTTATATAGATCAGTACAGTTTGAAAGTCCCTGCTCTGTGCTCCTTCAAGTGTATTTTCTGTTTAGCTCTGTGATTTGCAAGTACCAAGTTTTTGGAAGTTAGCACTTGATATGATTCTGTTATTTGAGCTGAACACTACACTGTCTGTCTTTCAACTATGCTGACAGCTTTTGCTCACTTTGTTGATGGGATGATTTCACTTTTTAGGAGTGGGGAATTGTCCCTTTAGTGTCTCCCACTTCAGCATTAGTTCAGAAAAGAGAGACCAGGTAGGAGAGGTAATATCTTTTATTGGACTAACTTCTGTTGGTGAGAGAGACAAAATTTCAAGCTTACAAAGAGCTCTTCTTTAGGTCTTCAGACCTGTGTAAACTTGAAAGCTTGTCTCTCTCACCAACAAAAGTTGGTCCGATAAGAGGTATTACCTCACACATCTTCTCTCTCTAATCCTAGGACCAATATGGCTACAACACTGCATACCCAGAAAAACAGGCACTGAGAGTAGCGTCTTTCTTATGTCCGACACGTGTGCTCATTCAGGATGTAAGTGTGATAGAGAAAAAACTGTTTTTCAGGGAAAATCTAATATGTCTTTAGAAAAAAGTTTTAAATGTAATGTTAAAAATAGTCTAAATTATGAAGTGTCAGCATTAATATAATTGTTATTTGGGGGTGACATTGCATGAACATAATGGTCCTTTTTGACCTTAAAATCTGTGAATTAATTAAAAGCTATTTGAGTCTGAAACTGTGCTGATGCTATTTAAAGAAAAAATAAAAAGAATAGAAGACAACAAAACTCTAGGATTTTTTATTGGTACATAATACATGAAGAGGTCACAGGTTTTACAGAGAGAAACCGAGGTTCAGTTCTATTTCTGTTTTAAATAGACATGATGTAAATCATTTTGTCATTGCTGCTTGAATGTATTTTTCTGTTAATCTGTAAATTCTGCTAATACCGAAGACTTCAAGTAATTCTTATAATGGAAATACAATAGTTTGATACTATATTGATATCTCTCTTTTGTGGAAAACACATAATTTAAAAAATTCAAAAAGACAAAGAGCACCACCACAAAAATGTACAAAACCAAATATTTTATTTTTTCAGATTTTATTTACTTAACACACTTCTTAAAATCATATGTTTACAATGATTTTCTCTTAGTTTAACTATTAAGAGATTTGATCTGTGATTAGCCTTTTCAGTTCTAATAATAATCATTGTACTCAGGAAATGCATTATTGAATATATGATTTCTGTGTTTCCGTTGGTTCCCAAGAGCCTCAGTGCTGTACCTCAGAACTCACTAAGCTGGGTTGAATTATTCAGTAAGTTAGCTATAGGGTGATAGTAAATATTGATGTAACAGCAGAGATGGGGTAGTTTAAAACAGTTATTTAGTGTCTGTGCCTGATTTCTTATTTTAGAGTTAAACAGAAAAAAAAAATTATAAAATGTTCTAGCAGGAGCAAGATTGTGATGTTTCTCTATGCATCCTTGTCTTCACTGCATTCAAATTTTTTTACTGCTGAAGAATTTTCTTACTGCTGGAGAACATTACACAAATTTCAGCTGAATATAAACACTTTTCTATGTAGGGAAAGAAGGTGCCTTAGTTAAAATAGCCTGAGAATAACTGATGTAACACAATATTCTGTTTCAGAGATGGGGTTCCTAGAAGGAGATAATTTGCACTTTGAGCTTGTAAACATACCAGTAGGCTATATCCTATGCAGTTCTAGTTTTATCTTGATAATCTAAACACAAATCAGGTTCTTAATTTATTCCCCCATTGAACCAGTTTTTTCAGATTTTATCCACACTTGAAGAGCATAGGTCAACTTTTCTCTGTGAAAAAACATATTATAAACTGCAGATGATTTTTTAGGAGTGCAAAAATATTATCAGTAAATATCCATTCCAAAAAAACTGCCCAACCACTCACAAAGAACTATTGCTGGTATCTGTAATGAACATATTTGATATGAAATCTGTTTTATTTTAACCAGTTAAATTACTATATCACTCAGAAATGAGAAAATCACAAGAGAATGATGTATTGAACAGTCTAACGATTGAAAATAAAGATTGTCATTTAACTAGTTGATTCAATGTGTATGCGTTGTAGTAACATCCAGCAGCGATGCTATTTCATATTTATTATATATATATATATATATATATATATATATAAAATGTACAAATATTATAAATATGTCTGCTTTGGATGTTATGTTCTTACCAAATTGGAAAAAATCAATGAGATTTAGAGATATGCAAACATTCCATACATTGTCTGTGAATTAGGGTTATCAATTAATTGCAGTTAACTTAAGCGATTAATGCTATTTAAAGAAATAGTCGTAATTAACTGCAATTTTAACCACACTGTTTAAACAATAATAGAATACCAGTTTAAATTTATTATAAATATTTTTGGATTTTTTTTTACATTTTCTAATATATTGATTTCAGTTACAAAACAGAATACAAAGTGTACAGTGCTCACTTTATATTATTTTTTATTACAAATATTTGCACTATAAAAATGATGAACAAAAGAAATAGTATTTTTCAGTTCACCTCAGACAAGTACTGTAGTGCAGTCTCTTTATCGTGAAAGTGCAACTTACAAATGTAGAATTATTATTTTACATAACTGCACTCAAAAACAAAACAATGTAAAACTTTAGAGCCTTCCAGTCCACTCAGTCCTACTTTTTGTTCAGCCAATCACTAGGACAGACAAGTTTGTTTACATTTGCAGGAGATAATGCTGCCACCTTCTTATTTACAATGTCACCTGAAAGTGAGAACAGGCGTTCATGTGGCATTGTTGTAGCGGGCGTTGTAAGGTATTTACTTGCGAGATATTCTAAACTTTCATATGCCCCTTCATACTTTGACCACTATTCTAGAGGACATGCTTCCATACTGAATTTAAATTGGTATTCTGTTATTGTTTAACAATGCAATTAAAAGTCTAATTAATCACAACTATTTTTAATCTCACAATTAATTGTGATTATTTTTAATTGTTTTACAGTCCTACTATGAACTATTAAATGGTATCTAAATTATAGATTATTTCAATGTTTCAGGCTGTGAAAGTTATACTGTACTTCCTAGAAAACATTTTAAAATCACAGAAAAATAGGTGAGTCATACTGAAGCCTAACCTGGTGAAAACTGTATATGATCCATTTTTCTCTGTGCCTGACGTGTTAAGTAAGAATAAACAAAGCATTAATTCCTAATAGACTAATGTGTATATTGTTCAATTCACTAAGCCAATTCACACATGATTGATTACACCAGAAGTTCAGAGTATTTGTCTCTGTTCTTATGTATAGTATTACACATCTTTATACAGGAAAGTGCCATGAATGTTAATGATGTGTTGGCAGGGAAAATGTATAAGCAAAAGTATAAAACAATGCAACTTTTAAAGGGTTCATTAAATACCTGGACCTTAGTTTTGAAAACAAATACGTCATCACATTGCGATGTCACACATAACACTAGGAACTGTGACTTCCCAGTCACTTGCAAGATGCCAGTCCTTGTTATACAGAGATAACATTGAAAGAAGGGCAACAAACCCCTGCTTTTTTGCATTCTGCACATGTGCATGGGAGATAGGTGAGTGAGTTTCTAAAAACCAGACTGGCTTTGAAGGCCACAGCTATTACTAGAAAGTAGAACATATCCTTGGCTCAGATAAACATCTTCTGTCTTCTCCTGTTTGCTCCTTTTTACCAGTTTGTTCGAAGAAGAAATAATGTCATACGTGCCGCCACATGCCTTACTTCATCCCAGTTATTGCCAGTCCCCAAGAGGTTCTCCAGTATCCTCACCTCAGAACTCTCCAGGTAAATTTTGTTGAAGTTTACAGTGGGATCTTTAGGGAGCAATTCCAGATACTTAGTGTGGACCAAATAAGACCAGGGAATAAGAGTTTTGTCATTGACTTCACCGAGACCAGGATTTTACCCTCTGAACAAAAGCAGTAAAGGATTTATTTGGCGGTCGGATGACTTTTTCTGTAATTACTTCATTACATTGACAGATTTAGTTCTGCATGATGTTTCTCAGAAGAGCCCTTTTTGTAAGACATGAAAGTCTTTCCAGAGGTCCTAGACAGGGAGATCATGAGAATCCACTGTAGTCCAACAGAGGTTGAAGTTGCATGACAAAAGTATACAAATAATGTAAATGCATCATCATTATTTACTCTCCAATTCTGAAGAGTGTAGTCTCATTTTCATATGCAGTAGGAACATATATAGCTATGTTTATGGGGTTTATTTTCCATGATTTTTGCTCTTTAATCTGTAAATAATATCTAAATGACTTGTATTTATTGGAAGTCGTAGCACTGCTGATCTGATTGCAGAGGTTTATTTGATGGATTCTTGCAGGCTATAGTGTCTTGGTGGCCTTTTGAAATAAGTTGGTGTTCTCAGTCCAGCTCTGGTGGGGTTCCTCATCACAAAACCCACCACTGAAAGTGGTGGTAATTGGCACTCTTGTAAGCATTTTCACGAGAGTAGTTAAGGATTGAAGTCCTGACCCAGCAAAGCACTTAAGCCCAGGCTTAGCTTTAAGCATGTGAGTAGTCCCATTGACTTCACAACACAAATGAGGAAACTAAAATACCCTGTCACCCTGAGAGATTCCAGTTCAGGGTCTTGGAAAGTGTGCTGTAGCTTACACTGCCACTGCCCGTGCAGTACAAAATCTATAGAACAACCTGTAGAGATGTCAGTAGAGCATCTTTCATGAGCACTAAGATTTACTTTAAAAACATTGTTTGAAACATATTTTTGAAAAGGAAAATTGGGAAAAAAAATTCATTGGTGGTATTCTTGTTCTTAAAGGGGAAATAATAGTACACTATTCAGATAGGTCTGCTTCTTATTTTCTTGCAAGGCCTGGGAAGTTTACTTAATACTGCTGTAAAAATTTTTTCAATGGGTTTGGGAATTTTCTTTGCAAACAAATTGAAATAAAACAGTTGTATGGCAGCCTCAAACCATAGGCCTGCTATTAACAAGGATAGCCTTTTAAAAAAACAAAGTGCCTGAATCACCTTTGAAAATGGGACTTAGGCACCTAAGTAATTTTAGCACCTCTGAACATTTTACTCCTACTGCACACAGGACACAGTGGCCTAGTAACTGCTGTAATCCCCCCAAAGTATTAGTTTAATCACAATACTATAATAATCTCATTATAGTATTTTTGTAATGCTGCTGTCATTATTAATTTACATTTTGCTTCACATAATTACATCCCAGTTTCCTTGAGATCAGAGCTCTGTGGTTGCAGCAGAACTAAGGCCTAATCCCATATCTGATTCTAGAAAACCAGCGTGATGGGGCATGAACCTCTCAAACTGGAAACTTGCCTTGGGCTCACAATGAGATTTGACAATAAGAAAAATATGTGCTCAAACTCCAGAGCTTGTGCTTTGTTTCTGACTGGTAAAACTTGTTTCTAACTGACTTGAAAGGGTTCACACTGGGGCACCAAAGCCTAGAGGGCTGAGGAATAAGGGGGAGCGACAACAGTTATACAAAGTCAGACTGCTGTCACTTACCAGGTGTTTTAAGAGTGTGTCTAGTGCAACTCAAGCCTGCTGCTGTACAATGATCTTTTTAAACCAACAGCTGCACATTTGCCATCACGTCGCCAATTATGGTCTCATCTGCCACGCCCGGATATTAGGGCGCAAACACTCTGGCGAGAGGAATGGATATCAGTTATAATCCCCAACCAGTCCCTTATCGCCGACCCCACAATTTGCCAGCCTGGTTTTGACCTGCCCCTTCGCCAGTGGTCCCTGTTGAACAGGTTCCAGACCGGGCAAGGTCTCTGTGCAGCGAGCCAGTATCGCTGGGGCCTTCGGGACAGCCCTTTGTGCAGCTGCGGCACAGACGATGATGCACACTGTCGATGAATGCCTGCCCGACTAGGTTCAGCGGTGGCCTACAAGAACTGCATCACGCCACTGAAGATGCCATCGCTTGGCTAGACGACTGTGCACACGCTAAATAAATCTGTCTGCAAACGCACACTTTAGAACTTAGTGACAATATCTGTGCATGTTTAAATAGTGATTAATAATTTTAGTTAATTCAGACTAAATTATTTAAAATGTAGCAAAGCCTATTTTCTCCTCTGAGGACCACATACAGCAGTTTGATGTTTTCAGATATAGCTGGTATTATTTTATTGGAAAGGAATAGTGATAGATAAGTAAGAGGAAAAATGTGGGCTGAGACAAGACCACACCTGGAAAATTCAAGCCCATAAGAAAGGTTATCAGAATGTTGTGTTTTTGTAGTCTTGCACTCAGCCCAACAGAACTAATAATCCATACCCCATTCTCACAAGCCTGGGGTAGCATGTGTGTGTCCTGAAAGTCAAAAGACTGAGTTCTGTGGGACCCAAGGTGGACTCTTCACTGAAAACATCCTGCTACCATTGCCCTTCTAGCAGGGTGCTGTCAGCCTGAGCTCTTCAGCCTATCTCAATGGTGCATTCTGCTGGGAGAAAGGTGATCTCTAAAACAGCAAGGGTCTAAAGCATTTGCCTTTTGTAGCTCAAACCAATACCTTGAACTTATGTGGAAGCCAGTCCAGGTCACAGAGCACGGTCATAAAGTTCTCCCTGCAAGACGTTTTGCTAACCCAGCAGGCTGTTGCATGCTGCACTATCTGAAGGTTCCAGGTGGTCATCATGAAATGTGATTCATTTCACTCTTAATATGGATTTTGTTGCTGTAGAACAAATGCTACCACTCTCCAGTGTTTAATTTGTAATGACAGAGATGCCGGGGCTCAAGCAGTTTTTTTTTTTTACTTTCATAACTGATGCGGCGAGCCAGAGGTGCCAGGGCTACGAACTGCCCAGCCCAGAGGTGCTGGGGCTGAACCCTGGCAAGCCCTGGCACAAATTTAAGCGCTGGATCTCTCCACACAATCCATGAACTGGGTTGGTAGGAGGGGCATAATCCGTGTAAAATAAGTTAGCTTCTCTTGAGGGGGTCCTTCTAATCAGATTTTGTTGTTTTAATAAAATCTTCTAAGAGGATTCCTAAATAGTTTGTGATGGATAAGGCCCCCTAACTTTCCAACAGACCTGTTAATGGGTCCTAATCTGTCCTGATAGAGCTGGATGTACAAAATCTGCTTTTTGCCCACCCCCCAAAAAAAAGGATGTGGTCGAACTGGAAATCTTTGACATGCTTTGGGGAGCGAGGGGTATGGAGCTGTAGTGTCCGAGCGAAGGTGCTTTGAGGCAGTTGGCTTCCTCAGAATACGCAAGGATAGAACACCTCAAGAGTGCTATGAGGAGAAGAGAGTATCCTGCTCCTTTGTCTCCCGAAGAGAGGAGCGGTGCATGCTCTCAAAAATGCCGGCTGCTGCTGGTAACTAGCAGGCACACTTAAGTCTGGTCATGCCCCCATTTTAACTTGTCACTCCCACCTTAGTGCTGTGGAGCATGACAGGCTACATTTGTATCTATGTCAGTACAGTTAAATTCCAATTATCCACCTGTTATTTGTATTTAATATTAAATGTGCATTCTGTTTATCCAAAGCTTTGGCAGTATCCTGAGAATCTATAATCAGAGTTTACCTGCACAGAACTCCGCTTTGGCAAAAGGGCACTAGCGATATAGTGGCTGCTCCTACATCCCTCTTTCTCACTCTACTCCATGCCATGCACCTGTGAAGGGCAAGGCAGCAGTTTGCGCTGAGTTTTTCATGACTGTTTTGATAACTACTCTGTTCTGAACAGCAGTGAAATGTCCATCCACAGCGAGTGTTGCTGTTATTGCTTACATTTGTGGCAACTACTGTTCGTGTAGAAACTATTTCTTGTTGTTTGTTAAGAAGAAAGAAAAAATGAACATCTGTATACATGCACCTTATTACTGCTGCAAATTATGATCAGAAGGGACTCTATCCTCTCAGTTCTCATTTCTGAAGTGGGTCCACCAAAACGCCCTGGTGAAGGCCCTGATTCAGTAAAGTATATAAAGCACCTGTTTAAGGTGAAACACACAATTATTGCCATCCCTATCCAGAAAAGCATTAAATACATGCTTAATTGCTTTCCTGAATTGAGACCTAAATATTGACATGTGAAGATCTTAGATTAATCTTTCTTATAGTTGCAATCTCTGTTCTAACAAACACAAAAAGATAAATAGAAAACACATTTAATGGGCCTGTCAGTCATTTGTTTTTGTGGATGAAGCCCTATGAATTTTTAAGGAGAAATCTTTGAAACAGGTCGTCATTTCTACAGGGGCTCTGTCTGTTCTGTATTGCCAGACTGCCTGCGCTGTACAGCAAAGGGGTGATCTTTTTTAATTCCTTTTGAATTTCTTGCAGTGACACTAATCAGGCTGAACTTGCTGGCTTTGCTGTGAATGTGATGTTTAACTTTCTAGGACTTGATTAATATCCATGTATCCTAAATGTGGTGGTGTCAAATTAAAAGAAGATTTCTGAATGCAGAGGATACAATTATAATGGGGATCAAGTCAGTGTTTTGATCAGTAACCTCAGTTACAGATCTCTTCAGCTACTGTGCTCTTCCATTAAAGGACACAAATAGTCATGAAATTACTCTGTCTCTATCTCTTTTGGAGACTATAATCTGTTTGAGACTTCAGCATGATTACCCATATCATTTGTATTTTTTGTAGCCCTTCCCCTCCCCTAACACGTTTGGTTCACAAGGTGGAAGTAATTGCTATAATTGCCCAGGAATTTCTTGGCAATTGCAGCTGATTTGCAGTGAGAGTTTGTCATGTGCTGACAGAATAATTTCTTGGTAATTTTTGAACCATGAAGCAATACGTTACCAGTTTTATTTACCATGATGTATCTGTTAGCAAAAGTTTCCTTTGGGGGCTGTTACCACAATGCAAATGAAAGTATGGGTTTGTCACATTCTTTGGTGAACTCATAATTGTACCTCCCTCCACCCACATCAAAATAACCTCCAAATAAACAAATGATGGTGAAGACATCAGTTAATGGACTGTATATATTTAAATGTCTACATATTTTAGAGTATTCAGCAGAAATGTCCAGTAGGAAGCACCTGGAATACTCATTAAAATATGAACAGCTACAGGAGGTTCAATTGATGTATATGGTTTAGTTTTCCAGAGATGTTCTGCACATGTCTCCGGGAACTCCGAAGATCTCCTGCCATATTCTCCCTCAGAGTCCAGTCTTTTGACTTTCAGGACACACACATGTTCTGCCTGGCTTCTGAGGATGGGGCATGGATTATTAGTTCTGATAAGTTGAGTGGCTGAGGGAAGGACTACAAAAACACAGCTTTCTGATAAACTCTCCTTAAGGGCTTGAATTCCTCTCACATGCACTAGTCCTACCACCATCCTTCTGGTGACAGGGAAACACTTGGGATTTTTTAAGGGACCCATGAATGGCATTAGTTGATGACCGATATTAGAAACAATTTCCTCTACCTCTCCCACATCTGCCCAGAGACTGAGTATACAGCTTCTTCCAGCAGTTCCGGCCCAGAGGATGAGGACGCTACCTCATCCACTCCACCCATCTAGCTGATGGCTAAGCAAGCTGCTTCCTCATCCCAGCCTACTTGTCCAGAGTCTGTGAGCACAGCCCCCTCCCATTTAGAATCTGAGCAAACTCCCTGCTCCTCCTCTTCCCCCTGTCCCTTGCTGAAAGCTAGACACATTGCCTCCACAGTAATGAAACCCCCTCTGCTGGGTTAGCCTTATACAGGGAGAGAAAAGAAAAGTGATATACTGAACTGACTGATATTTTACTTATAAATAGCTTTAAAGCCAATTGCATGTACACATCAGATTACTCACAAATGAGTAGTTAGGAGCCTAGCCATATTCGTAGGTGTAGGAAACATCAACCTTCCCGGTATATTTTGAACAATATATATTTCAATGATCTAGACGCCAAAGAGGGAGAGGAATTATTTAAAGTTATAAGTAAGTAGGGATATGAGAATGAAATGAAAAAGGCAAAATGTAGGCTGAATCTGAGGGCACCTTCTTGCAGTGAAAACTTTTGGGCTGTGGAATAGTCTCTCGAGGGAAGTAGAGGAAGTTCATTGACTGAGATGTTTAAAACTAGACTGGACTAAACACAAGAAGGTACCACTGGCTACACAGCTCAATTGGGAGGGAGGTGGGATAAATCCCCCCCCACCACACACACTCCCTGTCACATTAGTATCAATGGTTTATTTACCCAATTTGCAATAACTGTGCATACAACTGTAGGTGGATGTGCAATTTTTGGGGGGGCATACAGATATCTGCTTCTCTTTAAAGAACTGTTCCTTAAACTTATATCTCAAAAAATGAATTCACCTTTTTGAGTCATGTTTGAAAGAAACTTAGAGCAATTCATTTGACCCAGATATTTGAATGAAGAGAAAAGTCTTCAGTCTTTCCTCTCTCCTGATATTTTTCTCCTTTGTTGTACTTCTCTGAGTAAACTTTTCCTCAGTATCCCCTCCTCAGTAAGGTGAGAAACTCCATGCATTGAAAGAAGGTGTATTACACGCATAAGACATACTAATTTAGCTCATTGGAACCTGTTTTTCTTCTTGACAGCGAAAGAGCATGCATCATTTTAGTAGTTAAACACAGGTATTCAGAAAATGTACATATGCCAAACAAAAGTTGGGTCTTTTCCAGTTTCTTTGTTTGGTTTTGTGGGGGTTGAGGTTTTTTGGGGTGTGTGTGGGGGGGGATGGCTGCTTTGGATGGCTTCAACATTTTAGGACTTATTCTAAAATTGTGAAGCCATTGGACAAACAAAGAGCAATCAAAAACATCTAACCCTACAGTAGGAGTGGAGACACGGATCTCTTATCAGCTTATAAACTAGGATTTTTAAAAAAACCAACCGTGTCTATGCTTTCGGTCAGCAAAGAACCTTCTTTTCAGTCAGAGCTGGAATGTGATGCTTTGCATAGCTGCAGTTCATTTTCTGCTTGTTGTTTGCTGCAGGTACTCAGCGTGCTAATGCCAGAGCTCCAGCTCCTTATAAAAGAGATTTTGAAGCCAAACTGAGGAACTTCTACAGAAAGCTGGAGACTAAAGGATATGGACAAGGGCCAGGGAAATTAAAGTATGTAGAAGCATCTTATCAAAAAGGGTTTATCTCACAGGCAGAACTTCTTTCCTTGCAGGAGTAAGAACCTCTTTCCTCTGGGAATCCCATTGGTAACATGATGGATTCTTGCACTTATTGAATTAAATGTGAAGTGTGTTATAAGACACTCAAAGCCATCTCACTCCCAATGGAGAGCACATTTGAAGCATCTCTTCTCCATGTTACCTCCTGCTGTAGTGTCTTCATATGCACATTAATGCTACTGCAGTGGCAGAAAGTCCTTTAAAAAGCAGCACTCAAAGAAACAGGGAGCAGTTGGGCCACTTTCATTACAGCAGTCACGCTGGGGCAAGTTGAAATAACTGTTTTCTTTTGTCTTGCCCAGCCACAAAAATAAATATACTGCCATATCATTCATCTTTGTGTAGATACAGAATTTGCATAATTAAATATGATTAAATTCCAAAGAATTTGAAACTTGAACATAGTTTTTGGTAACGTTAAGCACTCCATATGTGGGAATGCCAAAATGAAGGCTTCATGCCACCCTAACTCTGCCTCCTTGTAAATTTTCATTAGTATAGAACAATTAATCACATGCTTACATACTTGTCATTGGGCAGCCCCTTCCGGGAGCAGCTTCTTGCAGCAGGCCACAGTATGACAGGGATGTCTGCCTCAGTTTCCCCTCTCAGCTGACCCAATAACTTCAGGATTTCTTGTCTCAATACTGTCCCTTCTTGGGGCTGGTTTATTACAACAATGTAAAACCAAATAATCCATAACAAAAGTTCCAGACATGGAGTCCATTTCTCACCCCAGTGCAAGCAGTTATTAAAATTCAAGACATTTCATCCCTCAATTTCCCCCATACCACACACTGGCGCCTTGGATGGTGTCAGGGCTCTCAGCCCTTTCCTGTCCTTGTACCAGGACAGCCACCCCTGCCCTTCCAACTTGAGTGCAACCCTGCCTTTCCCAGCGGGCACCCCCACAGCCTCTCTCCTGTGAACATCCTTGCCAGGGGAGCTTCCCTCACTCCCGCTGGCCCTCTCACAGCTCCACTGGGTCCAGCTCTCCAGCCCTGGGAATGTCAGTGGGTAAGCTCCTCTCCGGCCATTGGTTCTGGCTGTCCGACGGAGAGAAAGCAGGCAATTCCTGCTGCTGCTGCTCCTCCTGTCTTCAACCCTCTCCAGCCCTGGCTCTCTGGCTTGGGGACACCAGCCAGCAAGTCCCTCTCAGCCTTCTCCTGGCAACCACCCTCTGCTTCCTTCTGGGACTCCTCTAGTTCCTGGGTCTCTGGTAGCTCTCATCTTCCTGTCCTGACTGAACCAGTTTACTCTAACTCACTGGGATTTCCCCTCACTGGGTCTCTCCCTAATCCTTTATAGCCCTCAGCTGCTGCCCTGCCCTCTTAATTGAGCCACCTGCTTTGGCATACGTGAGATTGGACCTTCATCATGTACTGGGTCCAGGCACCGTGTGATAGAACTATTATGTTAAGAGATAATCATCACATGATACTTGCCTGATTTTACAAAAAATTCTGTGCCATGCACCAACTGTGATCCTCAAACTCCCATAAATTAGCCAAATAAAACCTACTTTTAGTGGAAAAGATAAATTTTCTCCCAAAGAACCATCTGCCTGCTGCCTGATTCTAGTTTTCTAGCTCCAACCACCGTGGCACTAGAGCTATTTTTTTTAAAAATTCACTGCGTTTAGAAAGGGCAAGGTGTATTTTTCTTTGCCACTTAACCATTTTTGCTCAAAAAAAGAACTAGATAAATTCATGAAGGATAGGTCCATCAATGGCTATTAGGCAGGATGGGCAGGGATAGCGTCCCTAGCCTCTGTTTGCCAGAAGCTGGGAATGAACGACAGGGAATATGGATCACTTGATGATTATCTGTTCTGTTCATTCCCTCTGAGCACCTGGCATTGGCCACTGTCGGTAGACAGGATACTGGGCTAGATGGACCTTTGGTCTGACCCAGTGTGGCCCTTCTTATGTTCTTATGTAAATTTTCCAAACATATTCACCTTTTGGCAGAGTCCAGACTCTGATAATTTCTGATGAACATTTCTTAAAATTATCAACAGCTGAAAAAGGATTTGAATGGAAATGCTTACCTATAATGTAATGGGTTAAAAAATAAAAAATAAGCTGTAAAAAAGCACTGCACTTTTTTTGCACAAAGTGACCACTTTGGCAAATAGCTGGTGCAAGAGGGTAGCCATTGCTAGCTATAAGGTCTATGATATATACATGCTCCTGTTACCTTGTTTTTCTGGGTTTGTGAACTACAGGTATATTTCTGGTAGGATTTACCATCATACCATGAGGTTTTAAGCAAGAGAAACAAAACAATAGTTTACTTTGATACAAATAGGCAACTTTTTAATTAAATGTTGTTTCTAAGGTGTTTGAACTTTTATAGATAATATACTACTATAGCCATTTTGATATGACAGGCAGGAATAATTAGTAACACAATTTAACATGGTTATATTTCCTCCTGTTCTCCCCCCTCTTCTCCCTAAGGGAATCCAATGCTTCATAAACATATTTTGGCCATGGACATAAATGTTCAGTTCTGTGTAGGATTACTTTGGCCATTATTCCAGACCCTTGATTTTTTCTTCTACAAATTTTCCAGTAACTAGGGCATTGCATTTTTTTTTTCATTTAGTACCAAATTCTGCTCTGAGGACCGTTTGCCACTCCAATTGGCATTGCTTGCTGTCCAGCTGTACCTGTTCTGTGCATAAATACAGGATATTAAACTCCAGGGCTGTCAATCCAGCCCCTTTCACCAAATTTTACCTTTTCCCTGGCACTATATTGCTTTAGTTGAAGAGCCAGATTCTCATTTACCTTAAGGCCACTTTACACAGCCCTGGCACGGTAAACAGCCTTTAGAGTGGATTTAAATGCCCACTTCAAAACCCCTTCATGCAGCCAGAATGGTGCAAAGCAGACTTTGTGTAAATGAGAACTGGACTTGAATATGTAAAATACTATTTCTTTATGTGGGAGACATTGTATTGAATTCTAAAGTATATCCAAGAATCACATAGGTTAACAGATATTATCTGCTAAATCTGGATCAAATGGTTGTATAAAGAGGAGATTAAATATTGTTTGTATCCATTATCCTGCACAGTTACCATCCAGTGTAACTATGTGTTTTCATCTGCAGTTCACCTTTGTGAATTACTGTGTTTAAAATTATCTTGCTGTGCAGATTAATCATCAGGAGAGACCACTTGCTGGAAGATGCCTTCAATCAGATTATGGGTTACTCAAGAAAAGACCTGCAGAGAAATAAACTCTATGTCACGTTTGTTGGAGAAGAAGGGTGAGTAGAACAGGGAAGTGGGCACGAACACATTCATCAACTATGTTTGCAGCTGTGCTTGGCTATTTCACCATACATTGCTGCGGTCTAGAATGGAAAGAGGAAGGATCGTCATCAGGAAATGTCACATACATAAGCCTAGAACCTACAGCTGTTCACACTTCACAAAACCAAATCATTCATTTTGATGCTCTTGGTCATGCATCTTGCTTTAAAAAAAAACCGCATTTATCTCTATGTGTATATGGCATTTCTGCTGTAACCTCAGTGTGTCACTAAGGAAACAAACAAACCCAAACCTAGATGTCATTTTGTTTCTATTTCTTTCATCTCTACCAGTGTTTTCCTCATGCATGCTACAAGGTAGGAGGTATTTTGATTGGTGGGAGTTAAATACAGGGTGGACTAAAGGGCCAGTCCTTCCAGTTGCTGTGTACCCTCAACTCCCATAGAAATCAATGGGAATTAAGAGCCCTGGACACCTTTCAGAGTGAGGTCCTTTGTCACAAATAAAACTTTCAGACGCAACTGTCTGTTGCTATTTGTTAAATAAACAAGTGTTTCTAATATTCCACAGCCATGCAGCAAATGCTTAGCCTGCAGCTGACTGAATGCTGATGTGTTGTAGCATTTACGTGGTTTGCATTATGAGGCCAGGTTAGGAATTTGGTCAGAGCTCCTTTATCCAAATGAAACTTTGAACAATGTATTGCTTTTTCCTCCCTGCTCCCCCCCATCAGTTCTTAAAGCCTTTTATAGTGCATTATTTCATTAGACACAAAGGGACAAATCTTCCTTCATCCTTGACCATTGCACAGTGACTCCTGCCAGTGTAATCCAACACAGTTGAACTGCGGAGGGGAATGCATATCCAGTGCCCAGCACCAAGCCCTGCACTGCAGTGGTTCCTGGCATGACAGTACTCAGAAGATGGGGGGGGGGGGGTAGCAGCGCGACAGGAGGTAGGTTGTGGGAGAGCATATCCGGAGGATTTGCGACTGTGCGGATCCTCTATTTATCCTTCATGTGGTGGTAGTGATGTGTAAGGAGCATAGAGAGCTGCTTCAGCCAATAAACTTGAAGTAGGTTCCACAACCACATCACCACCTGACCTCTGCTTTGCTGAGCTGTTAGGCCAGGTGCTGGCATGAGGATTTGCCCCAAAGGTCTGATTTTCAAATGGCAAAACAGGCAGATTAATTTGAATTTTCAGACCTGATTTGCACACACAATTATTGGAAACATGCTTGAAAATGACTACTTGTTCATGTCTGACCTTTTATGAACATGATTAAAACTGTAATGATTGTAAACATATACTGAATTTCATTCACTTGTATTTCATAGATTTTGCACTGTCTTTAAGGGAGCTGTTGCAAAATAGGTCTTGAACCAGTCCTTATTACGATTGGTTGTTAGTACCATGCAGTTTGGCATTACGTTTCTAGAATGCTTTTCACAGCTCTGGTGTAGTAAAAGCAGCTTGTACAAGATTAGATAAATACTCCTTTTAAAGGTTCTAAACGCTGTAGTGTGTTTAAAGTTTATCCTCAACGGCCAAGTTTTAATATGACCTAGTTAAAGTTTTCAAGTAAAATGTAGTGGTCTCACCCTAGCTGCAAGTGTGGGCTTGTTCACATACATAATATCACTGTACTGTCTGGCACCATTCAGACTGATAGGTACTCTTGATCGAAGAAAAACCCAGAACTGGAATGGCAGGATTAAGGTGTTTTGATTGAGCTTATATCAGCTTTTGTTTTTACTACTAGCAGCTTCACCCAAATTTAAAATATATGTAAAATGATTGCAAATCATACATGAGAGAGTGGGAGAAGGGGAGGGGAAGAGCTGAAAAAATACAATAAGAAAATAAAACTAAATTCAGTAGATTGTCTTCTTCCAGATCAGATCATGTCAGGTTTTTACTTTTCTAAACACAGAATGACAAGATGAAGAGTGGTCTGGATGAGGAAAGCACATTACACACACCATTCCTTTTTCCCCTGATGGCCACCTCTGTACAAGATGCCTTTCTTTGAGGAAAAGAATGAGTTATTTTATGAGTAACATCAAATCAAAATGACAATAAGTATCTTGCTAGCAAAATGACTAATCTCAGCTTTATACAATCATTTGATCCAGTTTTGAATGGTGAGAGGATGTGTGCAAACAACTCTCTCAGCATAGATGGTGCAAGGATGTGAGCCATGCAGAACTGCTCATTTAGTTAGACGTAGGAGGATGCATCTTTGGGGGAAGGGAAATAAATAGTAGGAGAAATTTTGAAAGAGGCATGTTCTACCCTCCCACCACTACACTCCTTTTTTTATATATATATTTTTTAATGCAGGCTAAATTATTGTTTGCTAATTGGACAGGAACTTGGTTTTATGTTTCTGTTCCTCATCCATTTGTAATGCTGTAAGTATAAGTCATAAAGAAATAGGTAATGAAATCCCCACTGAATGTATATGAGAATATTTTGATTAACTCTCGTTTGCAGTAGCACATGGGGTAATTTAAACCCCACTGTTGCCATTCAGACAATTTTATCATGAGTCTCACAATATTTTGTGTTTTTTCTTATAAAGCCCCAGTTCCTGGAATCATGAGATAATATGAGAATCTCCATTTTACTATTTTTTTTTAAAAGTAAGTTCTAGTCCTCATGGTTTCAGAAAAGAATCAAAATCTCAAAGCAAATCAAATAAAATGAACCCCAAATGTATTAGTTTTTCTACATTTCATGATTTTTCCAGCCAAACATTTGGCTTTTGGGGCCAGATATTTAAAAAAAAAAGTGTTTGGCATCGGTAAAAAGGAATAGTTCTAGGGCCTGGATTTGCTGTGAATAGCAAAATCAACAGTATCGTCAATCTACCTTAGATGTCTTTAAATATGACTGATTATTACTCTGTCATTTTTATTTAATGGTTGATTATATGTATGTGAAAGCCCATGTTTTGGGCCTTCTCAGATGACAAAAGAATTAATGTACTGATGTTTTTGATGCCTTGAATCCTGTAGTGATATCCTCACACCTTGCTCCAGCCCCTGTAAGTCAGGTAAAATGGCTGGAGTGGTATAAGCGAGCCATAAAAGTCCCAGTGGCAGTGGGGGGTAGATTCCCTTGGTGCAGGCACTGTGGAGGCTGACTCCCAAGATCCTCTTGCAAGTCCTGGTGCAGGGGGTGTGCCTGAGCCAGGCCGCAGCATAAATCACTGTGAAGACTCTGGGAAGCACTGTGGTCCATAGATTGGCCCAGGGAGGCTGCCCTAATTCAGAAGGGCCCTCTGGACTGTCTAAATTAGTCTCTTGACAGCCCAGGACTAGGAGGGTGCACAGATGGCTTAAAGTTAACTTAACATGCCCAGCTCCTGTTAGAAGCACAGCTCAGAATCTCACCCATGATTTAAGTCCAAAGAACTGTTTAGTCTAAAGAGATCATATAAAGTAAAATAATTTGTCATGTTTTCTTACTCTATGCTGTTCTTTGCATTGATACTGTGAATGCTGATTTACCACTGGTGAAGGTGACTTTGAAAAATAACAAGCCTCTAACTGTATCAGAAGGTCCTGCTGCTACAGTCTGTTCTGCATGTCAAACAGCTGCCTTGCATGAGAGGGTGGTAGTTTAAAATGCCTAACACTCCTCCCCAAGAGAATTGAAACATGCTGCCAACCACAGTACTTCTGCATTTGAATACCCAAATGCCTCCGGTTGCAGCTGTTGTGTGGCTGAGTGCCTATTGTATGGAGTTTTTTCATTCTTGTGCCAAGTCTTTAGTTGTGGGACAAACCTGACTGACAGAACAGGAATGTAATGAATGATCCATCTGATGTGAGTCACATTAACTTTATATATGTAAGCAGCTGGATGGAATAGCTGGAATTAGATAAAACACAAAAGTTATATTTTATCCTGGGATTTCATGGCTACTATGGCTGCCATCAGATTATCTCAGAAGTTTAGAGGCCCAACTCCTATAGCTGAAACCATATTCTTGATCGGGTGTTTGGGCTGGGATTAGAGATCAAACAATTGGAAATTTGCCCATCACATGGAACTATCCTTTCCTTCTGCAATTTGAGGGTGGACACACCTTTCCCATCCAGGTGAGAGACCAGCTTTGATACTCCACTCTAAGATGTTAATGGAACCTTAAATGCTTCCAAATGACTGAGAGAGAATATTTTTTCTTCAGAAAGAGCATTCATAGCTTCATCCGCAACTTGACAGTGATCCCTAGACCTTCTCTTCCGAACTTCATCCCCACAGGTCACACGCTGGGCTTATAGATGGCAGGCCACAACTGAAGTTGTAAAGATGACTGGCAGAGTGCTAATGGCAGAAGTCTTTTACTGAAGATTTGTGCAATAGATTTTTTGCATTCTTGTGACATGGGTGTGTAGGCGGCAAAGGAGAGTCTCTGCCACCATAGCATTGGCATCATCTTGATTAGTGGTTTTTTTATGGGTGCTGAACAACGCAGATAGTCTGAGCTGTCATTGCTCGCTAACTGTATTGTGTTCCTCCCATTGTGAGGAAAAATTACATTACTTGATGGACAAAATTGCCCAGGTTCATACTGAACTGGTGGCATCTGTGAGGCTGGCGTTGTATGTTGATGGGGGCTAAGGCTTCTGTGCTCGGGTTTCAGTCAGTGTCACTCACTAAGGTAATGGAGGGAACTTTATGCCACAAATATCCTGGGACCCACACAGCTACAATAACACCGCAAACAACTCTTATTGTTGTCCTTCTTGTTTGGTGAAGGCCAATGGGGAAGAGCTGGGCCAATTGCTGGTGGAGATTGAGAGTTTCAATTAGGGAAGGTGGGTTGCTTGCCTACCTTAAGAAAGCATTTGTACATCCATTGCTCAAGAAACCGTCATTGCTAACTATTGTTCTTTATCTCATCTTCCATTTCTGGGTAAGATTACTGAAAAGGCAATGGCAAGAAAACTCTCATGGTATCTAGATCCCTCAGATTTCCTTGACAATCTGGTTGCAGGCTTGGGCATGGCATGGAGACTGCTTTGATAGATGAAATCTCCTAGTGATGGATTGGGTGCCCAGGTTTATATTAGGTCTGTCAGCTGTCTTTGGTAACTCTTGGTGGTAAAGTAGTGTAGACATTCATGGAACCCTAGCAGAAACAGAGACACTAAGGAATAGCTGTCCATGACTTTCTGTCAAATCCCAGAGTGTTGTTTTGCACCATTCGTGCGTGAGAGGGAGCTCTCCTGTGGAATACTAAAGCGGTCTATCTGGCCACACCTCTTATTTAATGAGTATCTGAGGCTATTGGGAGGGTTAGTTTAAAAAATAAAAGACCTTGGTTACATTGTCTTCAGCATGCTCGTGACACCCAGCTCTGTATCTTTGTAGGTATTTACATGGCCCTCAACATCATAGTATCTTTGGTGAAGTAAAACTTTGAAGAATTTATCTTCATAAACCCTTCTGTGAGGTGAAAAGTATTAATTTCCATATTTTACAAATGGGGAACCAGGGCTAAATGTCTTGCCCACATCACATAGGAATCTATGTCACAGTCAGGAACTGACCCTCGATCACCTAAGTGTCAGTACAAGGACATCTTTTTTTCCTCAGCTGAAGCAAATAGGTGTTTTGCCCTTTGTCTGGTGGAGATTGGGGCATGGATAAGAGCTACTTGACTGAGGCTCAATACAGAAAATACTGAGAGGATATTAATAGGTGGCAGAAAGCAAACCTGATATGGTTGAGGATGTGAAACTGATGTTTAACCACCAGGTATCAGCCAGCAGTTAAGGTGGTTGTGACCTTTTCTTTCTTACATGGACCTCTCAATATCATCATCTTTGCCGTTGTCATCTTGAGTTTAGACTACTGCAGTGCACTGTGCACACTGCAAAGTGGGGTCACACCTTAAATCCATTCCGAAACCGAGCCGGCGCAGAACATGGGAGCCTGCTCATTAAGCTGGGTTTTGCACTGTGAACATATTATACTAGTGCTCAGGGATGTGGACAAATTGTAGAGAGTTCAGCGGAGGGCAACAAAAATGATCACGTGGCAGGGGCACATGACTTATGAGGAGAGGCTGAGGGAACTGGAACTGGGCTTGTTTAGTCTGCAGAAGAGAAGAGTGAGGGGGGATTTGATAGCAGCCTTCAACTACCTGAAAGGGGGTTCCAAAGAGGATGGAGCTCAGCTGTTCTTGGTGGGGGCAGATGACAGAACAAGGAGCAATTGTCTCAAGTTGCAGTGGAGGTCTGTTGGATATTAGGAAACACTATTTCACTAGGAGGGTGGTGAAGCACTAGAATGGGTTACCTAGGGAGGTAGTGGAATCTCCATTCGTAGAGGTTTTTAAGGCCCGGCTTGACAAAGCCCTGTCTGGGATGATTTAGTTGGCGTTGGTCCTGCTTTGAGCAGGGGGGTTGAACTAGATGACCTCCTGAGGTCTCTTCCAACCATAATCTTCTATGATTCTATGGTTTGCCTGAGTTGCTCTTTGGTTTTCCAGGTGAGATAGTAAGATGTTAATTTTGACATACAAGTCCCTGAATGGCCAGTCTAGAGAACTGCCCGTTTCAGAGACTTTTTCTCTCCTTTTGCCATACATTTACAGTGAGCAGTGACACTCCTTCAGTTTGAATGAGAAGGAGCTCCTGGCAGGGCATTCTCAGGGACCTCTCATCTTTGGAATCCAGGCTGCACCTTGGTCTAAAATATAACAAATTGTTTGAGTTTCTGAGCATATTAAAAACTGATCTGTTTGCTCAGGCTTTTGCACAAGGGAATAGAATGGCCAGCATTTTTGGAAAAGGGTGGAATATTATATATTTTAATATAAACTTTTTAAATTAAACTAGCATCCCCATATTTTTTGTATGTGGCTGAGTAGAATTATTCTGCTAAATGTTAATTTGTTGTTGTATATTTGAAAAAGGACATAGATGCCCAAAGGCAAGGATACGTACATTTTTATATTTTAGATATTAAATCAAAATAAGAGGAAAAAAACCCACACAAATACGGTGTAAAGCACATCTCATTCTATAGATTAGATGATGTATATTCTATACATTAGATGTATATTAACTGTGCATTGGATAATTATCATAAGACATACAGATTGTCCTTTCAAGTTTAGTCTCTTGCCTTTCTATGTGTACATTATCCTAGCACTAAGACTAAAGAAGGTCAGTGTCTGAAATCCTTAGGCTATAGAGGTGCTTTATTTGTCTCCTTTAGGGCTATAATAATGTCTCTTCCCAGTGGGAAACTCCCCAGTTTTCCATTCTGCAGTGCTACAGAGATATTGGTCTTAGGGCTTGTCTACACTTACATTTTATAGCGCTCTAACTTATTGGCTCAGGGGGTGTGAAAAATCACCCCCATGAGCGCAGCAAGTCTGAGCACTTGAAGCACTAGTGTAGACAGGCTCCCAGCTCTGGGAGCCAATCACCTTTTGGAAGTGGATTACCAGGAGCGCTGGGAAAGCTCTCTTCCAGCGCTCACGCGCGACCACACTCGCACTTCAAAACACTGCTGTGGGAGCGTTTCCGCAGCAGCGCTTTGAAGTTTCCAGTGTAAACATACCCTTTTCACTTGATTCACTTCAATTGTGACCCTGGGAGGAGTGGCAAGACAGTAATTTGTCTCAATACTATTTCAGCAATGAGGCTATCTGTCTTCTCAATTTGAGTGCAATTACATGTCACCTGGAGAATGCATTTCCTTCAGGTTCTACTAATTCAAGATTATAGTTTCTAATAAAGAGAGAATCTAAGTAAGTCCCAGGTTTTTTAATAAAAAAACAAACTACTTTGATAGGTGAAGGTCCTGAAAGGAGAGAGAGAGAGAGACAGACACTCCAAGAAAGATGAAGCATTAAAGTAATTTGAGATTTTCTTTCTAATGGAAAATATAACTCTTTGAATTGCTATATTGCTTCCCATCTGCAAGGATATAATATGATTGTTTTTTCCACTTCTGTCCTTGATTTGTCAGATGCATATATGGATAAGTTTAATGATGGCTCTTTTGTTGTGTGCTGTATATAGCGAAGGGATTTCTGCTTTCCCTTTAGCTTCTCCAGAATGACTTGATTTGATACCATTGATCAAGTTATTCTCAAGAGACCAATATAGACTAAGCAAGGGTCTTCCGTGAAGACTGTGTGTCACTTAGGCCCCAATCCTGCAAGCTCCTCCACCTCATTTAGGCTCCATGCGGGCATAGGAGTCCACCCACATGATCGAGGATTTAAACACCACAGTGATAGGCACCTTAGAAAAACCTTATATAGTGGTTAAAAGAACGAAGATTTATAGAGAATAAGTCTGTAGCGAAGCAAGACTCACTGGTGCGGCGCCTCCTGCTAGTTATCCTGGGAATTAGCTCTTGTCCAGCCCGGAGCACCCTCTGCAGGCTGGTGTCTCGCCTGCCTTAGGGCCCCCGTGTCCCTCCCAGACCCCAATGGTAACCCACTGTCAAGGCTGTATCCCCACTTTGAACTTTAGGGTACAAATGTAGGGGCCTGCATGAAAACTTCTAAGCTTAACTACCAGCTTAGCTCTGGTCTGCTGCCACCATCCCAAGGCTAATTTCCTTCCCTGGGTAGCCTTGAGAGACCTTCACCAATTCCCTGGTGAATACAGATCCAACCCCCTTGGATCTAAAACAAGGAAAAAATCAATCAGGTTCTTAAAAAGAAGGTTTTTAATTAAAGAAAAAAGGTAAAAATA